CATGCCAGCCAGCCTCGCCCCCTGGTGGGCTGAGCTGGCCACACACACACACACACACACACACACACACACACAAAATAAATAAATAAAAAATGTTTAAAAAAAAAAAAAGTGAGAGGGTGTGTTCTGGGGGGCATTAATGGTAATGTGTCTTCACTGTAATACACAAAAGAAATCTGTAAAAAGCTCCAGCCTTCACTGCACTTCTGGATCCCATCCAGTCTGTGAGAACTGAGCGGTCTCCTTCAGGCTGCTAGTGACAGGCTGCTAGTGACTCCACGGTCAGCGACTCTCAGGAGAGGACTCCTGTAACTCTGAGAGTCCAAAGCCCTGAGGAGACTCTCGGGCTCTCCCATGAGGGTCACTTTCTTATTGTGTTGAGTTAAAGGCTAGGAGTGATAGTTCTCTCATTTTCAGTAAAATCTGGAGGTTGGAAACTAATAATAGTATTCATAGTTAATGCTATTATTAATAGTATTAATAATATTGGAAAATAGTCTTAAAGTTAATAAAAAGATGACAGAGGGCCGGGGATATAGCTCAGTGACATAAGTTCCTGCCTGGCAAGTGCAAGGTCCCGAGTTCAATCCCCGTACCAAAAAAAAAAAAAAAGCATGTTAGGATGACAAAAGTGTAGGTGTGCCAGGAATCGGAAGCGAAGCTCTGCAGTAGAAAGGCTGCGGGTCCAGGGAGATGGCTCAGTAGAATAAGTGCTTCTCTGGCAAGCGCAAGGGCCCGAGCTCAATCCCCGGTTCTGAAAAAAAAAAAAAAAGAAAGGCTGCTCAGCTTGTGAGGCCTGCCTTGGTCCCTGACACCACATAGCACGTAGAGGATTCTGCTTTTCAACTTCCTGAGCATTTTGCCCACAGGAGATTTTTTTTTTTTTTTTTTTTTTCCAGAACCGGGGATTGAACTCAGGCCCTTGGCGCTTGCCAGGGAAATGCTTATTCCACTGAGCCGTCTCCCTGGCCCTAGGAGATTTTTTTGATTGATTATTGCTTTTTGAGACGTCTTACCAAGTAGCCGCGTACTTCTCATGCCTTAGTCTGAGCGGAGATCATAGGGATGCACCTGGCTACCAGTAGGTAGAGCTTTGGAGGCTGGGGTCAGTCCTCTCTAACCCTGCCTTCAGCTTTGGGGGCAGTCAGTGTCCTTCTGCCCAGGGTGTGCGGTTGGCAGTGTTTTCCCTCAGAGCTTGTCCATCAGTGCCTCCATGCAGGTTGTCTCAGCCCGCAGCCTTGGCATAGGTCAGACTGCAGTTTTCCCCTGTATGTACTGAAGCTCCACATCTCACTGAGTGATTTCCAAGCTCCTGTTTGTATGTTTGGCTTTTTTGTGTGTATTTGAGACGGATCCAGAGTGGCCTCAAACTTGTAATCTTCCTGTCTCAGCCTCGTGAGTGCTGGGATTATAGGCATGTACCATCGTGCCTGGCTATTTGTTTTTTTTTTTTTCAGAACTGGGGATTGAACTCAGGCCCTTGCACTTGCCAGGGAAGCACTTATTCTACTGAGCCATCTCCCCAGCCCCGCTATTTGTTTTTTTTAGACAAGGTCTCACTCTGTAGTTCAGGGTGGTCTTGAACCCACTTTGTAGCCTAGGCTGACCTCAAACTCAGAGTGATACTCTTGCCTCAGCCTCCCAAATGCTGGGGTTATAAGAGTGTGCCCTCTTGGGGGCTGGGGAGATGGCTCAGTAGAATAAGTGCTTCCCTGGCAAGCACAAGGGCCTGAGTCCAATCCTCAGTTCCACAAAAGAAAAGAAAAAGAGTGTGCCCCCACGCCCAGCTGCCAAACTCCTTTTACTGGTCACACTTTCATTGCCTCATAGATGTTTTAATTTGCTTTTAAGTGATACACAAAAACACAAAGTATGTATATTGATGTGTATTACTTTGCCCAGATTTGTCAGATCTGGCTTTGTCCACTGTAACCTAACTAGGTGTCTCTTGCCCTCCCTGCATCCTGCCCCTCCTGCCTTTCTTCCACAGTGCTGGGGCTTAATCACAGGGCCTCATAGTCACTAAGCACATGGTCTGAACTGCACCCCAGGCTTTGACATGCATTGATTATGTATTTTGAGAGGGTATCTCCCTGTGTTGCCCAAGTTGGCCTTGAGCACTTGGGCTCAAGCAGTCTGCTTCAGCCTTCCAGCTAACTGGGACTGGCAGGCCTTCCCAGGCTACTACAGCAGTAGCACATACTTCTGAGTCCAGCTACTTAGGAGGCTGAGGCAGGAGGATTCTAAGTTCAAGGCTAGCCTGGGCAATTTAGTGAAACCCTGTCTTGGAAAAATAGAAGGTGATAGAGAGCTTATTTAACATGTTGGAACTCCTGGGCTCAATCCCCTTTACCCCTGTCCTGTGAAAAGTGTTTGTGTAAGCTAGTGAGTAATCATATTCCAGAACAGTGGTCCAAAATAGGGAAGATGCTGGGCCGGGTGGCGCATGCCTATAATCCTAGACCTTGGGAGGCTGAGGCAGGATTGCAGTGGGTTCGAGGCCAGCCTTGACTATAAAGTGAGCTCAAGGTTAGACTAAATTGTACAGTAAGACCCTGTCTCAAAGAATGAAAAAAATAACAAAATAGGGAAGATATAGATTGAAGACTTATAGTTAATCTTTTGTGAGAAAGACTGAATTTTAACCTGTTTGGATTTCAGGATGCCAGTTGTAGAATAGATGAAACAATGGAGAGATCTGAAATTTATTTATTTATTAATTTTTTTAAAAATATTT